ATAAATCTCCTTTGACAATGGAGTTTTGTACTGTTTCTAGGAAGTTACCCATTATTTTGTTCAGGGTTTCCTAAACAAATTACTCACCTACAGTATAGCCTTCAAAGGCAAATTTATCAACTTCTATAAAACTTTAGGAAAGTTAATGATTAAGCATTGCTAATTGGTGAAATTGTCATATGCTTCTATGTTCTAAACTTTAAGTTTTTCATTCTATATCCACAGTAAGACACTAACGCAATTTATATTGTCTTTATATTTTATAAAAGGCACAGGCTGGAGCAGATGTTGTCAGCCCCAGTGATATGATGGACGGTCGGGTAGGAGCGATGCGAGTGGCTCTTGATGCTGAAGGCTTTCAGCATGTTTCTATCATGTCATATACTGCAAAGTAATTTTATGGTCATTTATTTTTTCTTATCTTACTTTCTGTTTATGCCAGCATGCATTGGAAATTATTGAAGATTATATGAACTTAGAATCGATGGCTATCTATTATAAGTTGTAGCATTGGGTATCAGTGAAGATATTCAAAATGTGTGGCATATTGACATTTACAATTTTATAAGTGAAGCAGTTATGTTATGCATAACCTGGTTTCTTATGCAAGTTATACACAATTTTATCTTCCTTTTGCTAATAATCATAGCATTCGAATTCCGTTAGTTATGCACTGAACAATTTCACCATTTTTGCTAATTGATATTCATTTGTCACTGAGTTCACTATTATTTTGGTTGACGTTGCTATTAGTTAATGCATCTTTTCTTGGCAATTATATAACTCAATCCTAAATTATGCCATTTATCTGCTACCAACAGGTATGCAAGCTCATTTTATGGCCCATTTAGAGAAGCATTGGATTCAAACCCCCGATTCGGAGATAAGAAGACGTATGTGTTATCTTGAAATCAAACTTCATATCAAATATCTAATCTATTTTACATAATTGAATCTTACTTTGCCATAAATTTGGTCTGGCTGAACAAAAGCTACCAAATGAATCCAGCTAATTACAGAGAGGCTTTGACTGAGATGAGGGAAGATGAATCAAAAGGAGCTGATATTCTTTTGGTTGGTTTAGTTTTATTTTTGTTTCTTTATATGTATGATCATAGTTAGGAATGGAACTCATCATATGCTCATTTTTTACACTGACTTTAGAAAATTTGGATGTGCAGGTAAAACCCGGCCTTCCCTATTTGGACATCATAAGGTTACTTAGAGATAATTCTCCACTGCCAATTGCAGCATACCAGGTTCTATTATGGCCTATTCTAAAAGTTGATCAATGTTCAATTATTTCGGACCAATGAATACTGATAACCTATATACTCACAACAGAAGTTCTTATACAATAGACAAAAGTGTCCCTAATTATTTCCTTGGATGGTACTCCTTCCATGGGAACAATTTTAACTTCAGAGCACTCTGTCGAATGGAAAATCGTGACAAGTGGACGGGGACTGAGTGGAAAAATTATTGAAGTGACATTCCCCGGAACAATCAAGTTTGCACCATGGAAAAACCAAGTGGTGTCTTCCTCTGGGTCGGTCTCTATATCTGACACTAATTGTTAAGTTGTTTAGGGAGGAGTCCACGGTGCAATTATTCGAAAGGAATTTAGATTTCTCTTTTGAAACAATGTTGTTTTTTGGGCAGTCCACGGTAATCGAATAACTCGCATTTTGAAGCTGGAGGTATAGTGTTTCTCTTGGATGTAAGTGAAGTTTCTCAAAGTAGAGCTGCTACTGTTTTATCTATTGTATTGCATTTTTTTTAAAATTTCTGATATGAGTCAATCTCATCCCTTTGGTGAACTCTTGGATCAAGTATCATTTGGTTTTGGTGATTTATTTCTTTCTGGATTATGGAGTATAGGAATTATGAAGTGTTGTTGAGTTCTACTAAAACATCCCGTATTTGACTTTCTATTGTAACATAGACAGAAATTGACATATTATCTGTGACAGTCCCAACTTTGAGAAGTAATGCACTTGGTTATGGAGCTTTTCTTAGAATTTATGCTAACCTGAGATATCAATTACTCTGCAGATTTGATAAAGCAATGAGCACCTGTTTTGATGTTATTGGAGTGGTATTGTTCTTAAGCACAACATTCACGCATGTTTTTTCCCTTACCAAATGAGCAGTTCATTGAATAATTTATCATGTTTGTTGGTTGGGTTTAAATAAGTGGTGGTTGTTGTCCTACAAAATAATTTATGCACACTTTTGGTTGTTCATTGACTGTCAATGCGAGATTTTAATCAGAAACATTTTAATCAATTTCATTTTATTTTGTCGATGATCCATTGCTAATGTAGACACATTGTGTTAGTCCTGTTATATTTGCATATAATTTAGTCTAAATGATGCTTTTGTATATAGGTTGATGAAATTCCAGAGGAAATATTGTCGGAGTCATTCACTCGCCTAAAACAAGAGCCTCTTTTACCAATGTTTAAATATTACACATTCTTTCTTATCTAACCCTATATAATATTTAGAATTTGAATAATATCATCTATCTATGTATACTATTTAGAATTTGAATAATATCATCTATCTAACTAAGCTTGAAAAACACCATTGAACTTCCTAATATACTCTTTCATTACATTTCAAAATACACATTAAAAAGTAGTTTTCAATAATCGACTAAATAAATAATTGACTAAATAACTCATATGAAGTGACACGGAACACAACCAATTAGATTTGAGTAAAAAATAAATAAATATATCTTGTGATGATGATGTGTTTAAAATCTTAATATGATATTATGTATTCTAATCTTTTTCACTATAATATGATTGAAGAAACAATTTGTTTTCTTTGTGAAGATAATTTGTTGTTATTTGGGAGGTGTATACTCATTTTTGTTCTTCATTTAAATGTCTCAATTTATACCCAAATGTATGTCACTGAAAAGATGATTATTGACTCATGGACAATTTCTGTCTATGCTCTAATCCTTGCATGCCTAAATTTTATATTAACTTTAATGTCAAGAATCTATTGCGAGTGAGTATATTTTAATCGACAAAGATCACTGATAAGGATTTTCTAGGCAATATTTAATTAATGTAATGTAACGGTTTTATGTTTGTAGCTAAAAAATAAGAGATTCATCATATGGGATTTGCTAATATTGTCAAATAATTCAAAATCTCATGTATTTGATCTTTTTATTCCATACAAGCTTACGATAAAATTGTATGTTACTCTATTGCTCTAAAAAATAATCATGTATAAATATTACTTTAAAAAATTAAAAGTCTAAAATTTTGATTATGTATTTCAACATTTTCACTATAATGTTTAAAATGTGATTGAAATACTTCATAAAATTACACGAGATACAATCCGTTAGATTCAAATAAATAAAAATCTGTATAAATATTTCTTTTAATATACATTTGAATATACTTTTTTTTGTGAAATTAAAATTTAATAAGATTATACTTTTTCTGATACCTGTGTCCGCACGGGTCTTCTGCTAGTAAATCATATGAAATGAAATAAAACACCGACACGCTTTGGGTGCGTGCCAACCTCATTGGGTAAAACTCCAACTCAACGAGGAAACTGAACAAACTCAATATATAGTCTGATCTTATTTCAAGTCACTATAAAAATGCAGAGAAACATGTGCATAACTAACTTTTTCTAAAATAAAAAAGCATAGCATATAAAAACACAAATTATTACAAAAACAAAAAATAAAAAATCTGCGCTTGAATTTAAATACGCGGCTTTCAGAGTCTCTTTCAGTCACCGCTCATTCACTGTAAGATCAGATCTGAAGGAATCTATCGATTTTCTTATCAGGTAACCATTTTTTTCATTCTTCACCATTTTATGCATTCATCTTTTTTTACTAACTTCAAAACCATTAAAATTTGCTGAATTGTAGTATTGTTTTCGACTTTGTAGTTGTTTTTAAGCTAAATCCGTTTTATAGGTTTAGTTCGTTGTGATTGATTCGGTTTATTCTATTTGGTTTTTTACTTAGGGTTCTTGATTTTGAAGTAAATGAGTGATGTGTTTGTTGTATAATGTAATTGTATTGTGTTGAGGTAACTGGAAATGGTTTGAATAACTTTATTAGGCAATGTGTTTGATGTAAAGTGTGTGAAAAGTTGAAGTTCTGTATTTTGCTGCATTGGGCTTGATGGTGTTGTTTGTGGATTTTACTGTCTGTAAGTTTGTATCTATCTTGTAAAATCATGGCTTTAATCGGAAACTATGGACGGATCTGGATTCGACGCATGCTTTGCATTTCTTGATCTTGGGCCTCTTTTTCCAAATCAATAGTGAATATTATTTAAAAATGATTTAGTGAATGTATAGTAAGGAGAGTAGATCTGATGGAGTGAAGTCAAACAGAAGAAGACATAGAAAGACTATAAGAGAAGTGATTAAGAAAGATCTCGAGATTAATGATTTGGATAAAAACATGGTCCTGGATAGAACATTGATAGAACATTATGGCGAAAGTTTAGCCGATCCCACCTAGTTAGTTAGTGAAGATATAGTGTAAGCTGACCAATCTCGAATTGATGGCCTGAGATGTTAGTGTATAAATATGGTTTTCAAAATGTAGGGAATTTGGGTCTTGGACCGCAGTTGTTGCCAAGCCTTTATTTACTTGTTTTTTTTTTTCCGTAGAGATGATATGGGATTCTGGTTCAAAGGATACTGTCGAATCGATTCTACTCTGAGCTGTGCAGCTTTTTAGTGTTTATTTGCATTTCTTGTTAACTACGTCTCAACTACTATTGGACTAGTAGTATTGGCTTTAAGAGAAATCTGTCTATAATAAAATAACTGAGAGAGCAGATATATGTACTGTGATACAACTACAAGTCAGAATAATGAATGGAAAACACTTGATAAAGTATACGGGAAGAAACAACATTGTTTTGTTTTTGAAATATCATAATTGAACTTGTTGCTAAAATTTGTGCTAGGTCTGAAGTTTCATTGCTGTTATCATGTCAAGGAGGCCGGTCAATCCTTCACGTCGGTTAGGTGATGGTGGAAGTATACCATTTGTTGCCTCTATCCAGTCTAAATCTAAGAACTCTCCCCTGATATCTATTGGGCTTGTTATTGTGGTATACTTTTTTCTTTTTGAAAATTGAATGTAAATACAGAAATATTCTGGTATTATTAGGTTTAGCTTGAAATATTTCTAACTTCTTAACATCATTTTGATGTACTTCCTGTATTTATGAGTTTTTCCCAATTGCACTTCCCCTTTCACCTAATTCAGTATATAATCTACTTTATACTATGAGTTTGTTTGGGTTGATTTATTGAACTTATTTACTGACATAAATTTTTTAAAACTTTTTGGGAGAACTTATTAAAACAACTTATGACATTGTTCATAAGTTGTTTTCATCTTTTTTTTCATAAGTTTTCCAATATAGCTTATGAAAACAACTTACAACTTTTACGAAAATAAATTAACTTATTTTGTCTTTTGCTATAAAAATAACTTATACATAAGTGCTTATTGATAAGCTGCAAATGAGTTGTTTATCCAAGTAGGGCGTATATATTCTTCCATGCTTACTATCAACACAGCCCAGTTAATGATATTTGCAAAATTTTCAGGGTGCAATTCTTCTGATTGGTTATTTTTACAGCAGTACAGGTTTGTAATTAATCTGTTAACCTTAATTTCTGAAACCCTCATAAAGAAAAGAATCTTTTACCAAAGAATAAAACAAGGATTTTGAATTTGGCACTCCAAATATTGTGTTTCAGATGCCAAAAACGAAACTTTTGACTCTGGATCTGTTTTTTTAGACCAAAGTATTTTGCAACTTCGTCGGGTTTAATAATCTTGGATCCAGTCTTTTGTTCATTACTACTTAGGACGATGCTACGGTGACAAAATACAGTAGAGTACTCAATGAATACATTCAATGTAGCTAAAGAATAGAGGAATACAGATGAAAATTTATTTACATCATCATGTAGATGTTTAGATCTTGCACAAGCCTCATAGAACCTAGATCATACTGTCATGATCATTCAGCCATTCTCATATTGCCAACATATCTATGTAAAATGAAAAGAAAAAATGGAGCTCACATCACTGCATAAACTAACAATGAACATTCCCTGTTTCCTTAATTGGCATTGGCTTTAAAATTCTAATGATGCTGATGTTGACTCTGATTTGTTTGGTTACATGGCAGGTGGAGCTAGTGGTGATATTAAGGATGTGAGTAAACTTGAAGGTACAAAAAACCATTAATTTGTTATTTTAAACCTCATGCTTCCCGAATATTTCCCGCCGAAGAAAAAGCTTGGACAAGTGTTTTTTTGTGAAACTGTGGCACTGGATTGTTATGTGTCTTTTTTCTTTTGATTTTGGTAATGTTTTGGATGTCTCCTTTAATTCATTGATTGGTATCCAATCAACATGCAATCAACGAGGTTATTTGTTGTCTCAACCATCATTATTGGGACTGTTACTGTATCATAATCTGTAATTATTAATGTTTTGTTTGTATGGTCAGTTGGTACAAGTTAGCTAGCATTTATAGTAGAAATGTTGATTTCAAATTATGAATATTGAAAATTTTGTTCCACTTAAAACATCTCTAGTGAACGTTTGCAGGTGGTTCATCATGTACATTAGAAGTACTACAAGCATTGCCTGTTTTGAAGAAAGCATATGGAGACAGCATGCATAAGGTTTTGCACGTTGGTCCTGACACTTGTACTGTGGTATCTAGTTTGTTAGCTGAAGAGGATACTGAAGCTTGGGGAATAGAACCTTACGAATTAGATGATGCAGGCACAAAGTGCAAAAGTCTTGTACGAAAGGGCATTGTGCGCGTGGCTGACATAAAGTTTTCTTTACCTTACCGCGCAAAGTCATTTTCTCTTGTCATTGTCTCGGATGCATTGGACTACTTATCTCCAAAATACCTGAATAAAACCCTGCCAGAGTTAGTGAGGGTATCTTCTGACAGTGTGGTTATCTTTTCAGGTACCCTCCTTTCTGAATCTTCTGATCTTCTAGTTTATGCTTTTGTACGCTTGTAATCCAGAACTGAATTTATCTTTGGTATTAATTTGGCTGGCCAGGTCTATGTTCACCTAGGCAATGCCAGCAATAATAAACTCATGATCTTAGCAGTATTTAACAAATCACGCTCTTTTAGTTTTTAATTCACCTGTGCTTTCTTTGTCCTGATTTCTCATTTTCATGCATAGGTTATCCTGGTCAACAGAGAGTTAGAGGTGAACAATTGGCCAAATTTGGTCGTCCAGTAAGTGACTATTACCTATTTAGTTTGATATCTTTTTGGTGGTGTCATTAACTAGTGTATATGTTCTTCTCCCGCGTCTCTCTGTTTGAAATTTGATATTCTCTTTATGAAGGCCAAATTGCGGAGCTCATCTTGGTGGATAAGGTTTTTCGTTCAAACAAGTTTAGAAGAAAACGAAACTGCTGGAAAGAAGTTTCAACAAGCTTCAGCCAAGAAGGCATATGCACCAGCTTGCCAAGTTTTCCACCTTAAATCATTCTCTTGAAAATTTTCGTGTCTTGTTTTTATAAACTTGACTTTTTGGTAAGAAACCATACTTGATGAGGCTGGCACCTTGAGCACCCAAAGGGTAAAAGTTCCATACATACATTATGTTGAAATTATAGTCTTGTTTGATCCAATCATGATGGTATTAGGTTAAATTATGTACTTTATTATCTTTTACATTTGTAAACTATTTTGTCTTGATTTTTTTTCATATGTATTTACAGAAGCTCTCTGTTTCTATATTATTTATTAGTTTAGGAAATTTACTATTGATGACTTCTACAATTATTGTTACCTTGTTTGAGGTTGCTTATATTATCACAAAGCTCTTATTTTGCTCCTATACTTAAATTTTTACTACCTGTTTTCATAGGAGCTATTATTATTATTTTTCATAATGATTTCATATATAATGTTATCATGTCTTTTAATATTTCGTCTTTGCAACAGTAAACTCATTTTATTTGCATTGTTTATTTATTTTAGTATATGATGACTAGGATATGCAAGGTTGGCTACAATTAGTGTGAAAGATTTGTTTAAAACTAAAAGTTTGCACAAATTATAAAAAGATAAAATACATAAAATAATATTTTAAGCAAAAATGTTTATATCAATTTTTTATTTAAATTTTTTTTTTTAATTTTTAAAAGAAAAATATATAATACTATAACAATCAATGAGAAAAAGCTAAAACAAACAGGCTATATATTTATTTCCTATTTTATTAATTTATTATAAAATATAGTATTCATTAAAAATAGTATATGTTCATCTTTAATATCATTTAAAAATATTCATATTAAATTGATCCTTAATATGTATGATAAAAGAAATTGGAGTACTTGCTAAAATCATAAAATATTGGTTGGTCTAAATTATAAATTGATTGATTTAACACACTCAAAGTTAATTTCTTTTAACATTATTACTAAATCAAAACAACTCATTTATATAATTTTGTAATTATGGTTAAAGTTAAATGTTTTAAATCATTTTAAGATTATGATTAATTAATAATCTACATTTTTTTTTTATAATAGACTGTAGATAAATTAAACCTAATTACAAATACTAATAATAATTAATTTAGTTGAATACATTATGATTAGAAAAAATGAAATTTAAAGGAGCGTGGAAACAATCTTTGTAATAGATTGTAAGAGCAGACAATAATATTAGTTCAAGATTTATGTTCTTTGAGCATTTCACTTCACACCTTCCACTTGAACCTAACACCCCCATCGCGTATGAAAAGACGAGAGCAATTCACTCACACCCTCCACTTGAACCTAACACCCCCATCGCGTATGAAAAGACGAGAGCATTTAACTTCACACCCTCCACTTGAACTTAACACCCCCACCGCGTATGAAAATACGACACTACCATTACAAAATCATTTTACCCATTTTCCAAATCTATAGTACGCTGGCGCGAATTTAAAAATTCTGGGGTGATATCGTAAATTTGGAGAAGCGTAACGGAAATTTGAAAAACAGTAAGTTTCTACACCGAAAATTACAAACTTTTTGGTATTTTTTACTTGAAATTTCAAAATTTCCGGTGCTTATTATAAAAAGTTTACCAAATTTTTTAAAATTTCAAGTATAAAATCCCAATAAATATACTAGAAATTTCAGAATTTCTGGTACTTATAAAAACTTGGTTCTGTACTAAAAATTCTAAAATTTCTGATATATTCTATGAGATTTTATATCAAAAATTTTGAAATTTTCGATAGATATAAAAACTTTGTTTTTTACAGGAAATTCTAAAATTTCCGATAGTTGCTAATTTTTTTTTTTTTTTTTTTTTTAATTTTCCTTCTTTTGCAGTGAAATATAGAGGAAGAGACAACACTATTGCATGAAGAGCTATTGATAGAGCGACATACCAGGCTAGGGCTGCCCGGGGTGCTGAGTCTGTTCCTGGATATGGGCTGGACGAGTGGTCCAAACCGGTTCACATCAGAAGCGGTTGGCTGAGCAGGGTCTGTTCGGCGCACCTCGTAGCACTCGACGCTGATTGGTATGATGAGTAAAGCAGCCTAGAGATGAGGTGGCAGATGAGGTGGTGCCAGATGCTGCTGTTGCTGATTCGGTGGTTGAGGAGGTTGAAGATCCAGTGGTTGATCCAATGGTTAAGGAGGTTGCTTTGGAGAAGGTTGCTCGGATGGTCCAGCCAAATGTTGCTGTTGTTGATTCGGTCTCATCTGTTACTATTGACATAGAGGTTACAACTCCTTCGACCGAGCCTTCTGTGCACACTGAAGGTGACATCACAAGGGTCGAAGATGAAGGACTTTCTGAAGATTTCGATGCCCGAGCAAGTCAGCCAGATTATATGGGAGTTTGAGCTGCTTGATTTTGCTCACCATGCTCGACGCTACACCACTTAATGCGTTTGTTGAGAGGTGCCATAAGGAGACATCTTCATTTCATCTTCTGTTTGGGGAGATGGTTATCACTCTGAATGATGTCTCCTTATTTTCCATCTCCCTATCGGTGACAAATTCTAGACGACTCATGTCCTTAGCACGTCCATTGCATGTGTGACTATTACATGAGATTTAAGGGTTTCTGAGGCGGCCGTGCAGAAGAAGTTTGGTATCAATAGGGGCTCTCACCTTCGTATGTCTTGGCTTTGGAAGACGCACGGCGACCTTGTAGCAGTTGAGAGTTATGAGGCTGCCACTAGAGTGTACATGCTACATCTAGTAGCATGTAATCTCTTTGCGGACAAGTCTGGTGTTTATATCGACGCCCTGTACGTGTGCCTCTTCATTAGCCTCGAGGATACCAGTTGGAGTTGGGGGTGTGCTGCATTGACTCTTTTGTATACAACACTTGGAGTGACGACAATATTTGAGATTAAACAACTTGCTCATTGTTTGAGTTTGTTACATGTATACTTGAGATTATTATTTGTTGTTTATTTCTTATTTAAATTTTACGAATATAATTTCTTATTTATTACTTGTTGTGTCTATGTTTTGATATCAGTTCTGGATATACGAGCATTTACTCACCATTTGTGATAGGAGGGCGCAACATTACCCGATGGGGTCCTCACGAGCAAGGAGATGGAAGGCCAGAAAGGCAAATCCCTGTGGTGTTGCTGAGCTTAGGAGGAGGCTCAATGCGATGGCGGTAGCTAATGTCATCTAGAAACCATACACTGATCATAGAGTCTATGTGAGTTCGAGGAATGGTTATTATATTCAGGTTATATACGATGGGAGACCATGATTGCTAGACACTTGCCTGAGAGGTGTCTGTGACAATATGGTTATGTTCATAATATCCCACGACCAGTTCCAAATATATCATTTGCAGGCATTGATTGGTGGTTTTAGAGTAACTTCATCAACTCTGCTCGAGCCATTAGAGATCGAGTTGTTACTGTTTAGCACCCTGTCATACCCTAATTTTTACTCCTAATATTCCACCTATCATATCATTGGCATTTCAATCAAGATCACAAGCATGGTATCCTCCTAACCTTCACTTCTTTGGCTTTGTCATTTGGAGATATCACGAAGTACCATTTGTGTTTCTTTACATTCTAACTTTGCTAACACTATTCAAAATACAAAAATATGTGTTGTTTTCTCTTTCTTATTGTACCAGGAAGGGACTTGTAATCAATGAATCAAGCTTGGCTTCTAAATTAGGGTTTGGATGCTCAAAGTCAAAGTTTGGTCAATAAATGGTCCACAAGAGCTTCCACTTCAAGGAATGATCTATAATCTTAGGTCACATTCATGTCAAGCTTCATCCAACATCATGGGATCAAGAAAAGTTCAAGTTTGGTGCATGATTTCAAAGATGATTCAAGTATTGATCATGTGTTTATTTCCATGTCATCTTCATCCAATTTTTAAGCAATCATCCAAGATCATTCAAAGAGGCAATCAAGTTTTCCTCATTTGTGTCCAAGTGTTCACCAATGGGCCTTTGGATGCAAGAAATGGCAATAAATCTTAAGTTGGCACATGTTTGGTTGGTATAAAATCAAGTATAGCATGTCACTTGGTCCAAACACGGTAACTTTCTCATTTCTCAATATTTTTGGAATATACTTTGAGCTAAATGTCACATTTGAACTCATCTACTACTTTTTTTAAAGGGCCAAACATCAATTCAACCTCTAAATCCATCAATTTTGGGATTTGCTCATCTGCCCACGTGTTAACAAAAGTAGGCCTAAGACTTGGTCGACCTAATGCTTGGCCTAAAATTTCAGGTCATGACCTCAACTTTGATTTAATGCCATTTTCTATCCAAGCATCCTTTCTATGTGGTTCTTTTCGCATTTGATTCTTTGCCATGAGAAGATCATTTGGCACAAAGAAAATTCAAGTACTCAAGAGTGGATTCCATTTGGCATAAGTTCAAACATGGTGTCATGAACTCTATTCTCCATGCAAGTTTCAGGTCATGATTTTCACTCCAATCTCAATCTAGGACCACAAGAACATGTGCAAGTTCTTTGTGAACCAATAACATGTGAAAACAAACACATAACAACCAGGTTTCATGCTTAAGTCATGTTTTTCATCACTCATCTCACACGGATGGAAAAATCAAAATTCCAACCCTAACTCACACGAATTTTAGATCCAAACCACATGCATGAGCTCACCATTTCTTTTCTTATAAATAGAGGATCATTTTGCTTTAATTTTCAAGCTTTGAAAGCCAAAGAAACTCTGCAACCATTTGATCTCAATACCTCAAAAAACCAGAAATCTATTTTCTCAATTCAAGCTTGTTTTACTTCATTTTTTCACCCAGAATCACTCATCGGCACCTTTTGAAGCTAAATGAACCATTTCCGTGCCTTGAAGCTTCCTCAATCAAGCTCTCAATTTCCATCATTGTTGACCTCTGAAGCTTCAACTGAAACGGTAGCTACGAGTAACATTTTTGAGCAAACAAGTTACCAGTGTCTTCGTCTTGTTCCACTAATCAAAAGCCATACATCCCCTTAATT